TTGGCTCAGGTCATGATCTCACAGTTTGTGAGTTCAAGCCTCACGTCAGGCTCTGCGCTGAGCATGGAGTTTGCTTAAGATTCTCTCTCTCTCTCTCTCTCTCTCTCTCTCTCTCCCTTTCTCTCTGCCCCTCCTCTGCTCACTCTTGCTCTCTCTCAAAATAAATAAACAGGGGCACTTGGGTGGCTCAGTCGGTTAAGCTTTTGACTTTGGCTCAGGTCATGATCTCACAGTTCATGAGTTCGAGCCCCACGTCAGGCTCTGTGCTGACAGCTTGGAGCGGGAACCTGCTTTGGATTCTGTGTCTCCCTTGCTCTCTGCCCCTCCCCCACTGGCACGCTATCTCTCTGTCTCTCAAAAATAAAATAAACATTTAAAAAATTAAAACAATAAAGACTTAAAAAAAAAAGAAGAAGCTCCCCTATGCTGAGCCCTAGGCTTTAAAGGGCCCCCTCTTGCCCTTCTGTTTCTATACCTTTGCTCACAGAGAAGTGATGTGCCCACTTATAGGCTGGGCCTCCCCTTCTCTATAATACGGGGTATAGGGACTCTGAGATTCCTGCCCCAGTGGTCGTAATTCCAATTCCAGGTTGTGCTTGGGCCTCTCCCCTGATCCAGCTTCCTGAAAGGCCACCACTGTGTATACCCCTCGGCACAGGGGACAGGCAAGGGCAGCTATTGTGATGTGTGGGTAGAGCTCGGACCTACAGGCTGGTGTGTCCAGCACATGAAACCCTATTTCAGGGTAAAGACAAATATGGAAAGGCAAGGAGACAAACAATAGGCCAGAGGTTGGAGTGAATGTGCCGGCCGGGCCTTCCAGCTTCAGGTTCTTTTGAAAGATTTAAATGGGACATGCTGGTGGGCGGAGGGGTATTGATAGCAATTTGTGGGTAAGAGCTAACGAGGATAAGACTGAAGAGGTGAAGAGAAATCTTGAAGCTTCCCCTGTGTGAAGAGGAAGACAAAGTCTAGAAGGGCCTAGGGACATGCACAAGCTAGCCAGCCAGCGAAGGAGAAATCTCTCCTCTTTCTCTCCTCACCTGGTGCCAGTGAGTCTTCCTGGAAAGAAGTGTGGTCTTTGCCAACTATGAAATTAATTTGAAATTTGCACTATATCCACAGTGATTTGTTATGAACTTTACTAATTTTGGGGGGAGGCATAATTTATTTTTGAGAGACAGAGAGAAAGAGAGAGAGAGAGACAGAGTGCAAGGAGAGGAGGAGCAGAGAGAGAGGGAAACAAAGAATCGGACGCAGGCTCCAAGCTCTGAGCTGTCAGCACGGAGCCCAACGCGGGAATCAAACCCACAAACCGTGAGATCATGACCTGAGCCGAAGTCGGACGCTCAACCGACTGAACCAGCCAGGCGCCCCGTTATGAACTTTTCTTTAACCAAAGTTTTCAACTCTTCGCTATGAAGGTATATTTGCCAACCTAGAAGTTTATGACAGATGTATTTAAGTTTGCTCGTTTGATTTAGAACTTTTAAGTATCTAGACACGTGGGACATAGGCTTCCATTTGCACTCTTGCCCAGACCCTGCACACATAACATGAGAATAGCCCACCATTCTGTGAGAAGCCAACTGACAGTCTGTGGGCATGCATGACAGGCCAGGGATTGGGCTTTACTTATGTCATTTCACTGAAATCTCCTACCAATTTTCTGAGACAGTGTAGGCTCATGACCTGAGGACCAAAGAGGTTAAGATGCTTGGCCAAGGTCGCAGAGCTAATAATCAAGGACCTGGACCTCCCACAGAATTCTTGTCAATCACAAGGATTTTCTTTCCACTCGATTACGCCTCGATTTAAGCTAGTGTTGAGATATGGATACAAATGGCAGCTGAGTTGCTCTTCGGTTTTATTTTCATTTGGAATGGGCCAATGACACCAACAACTGTCTCCTAATCTAAATTGAGTGTCTCCTTAGAGAGACCCAGAGTCTACCAGCTTGTCTTCCCCAGGCTCCTCATAACGGTGAGTAGACGCCTTCCAGAGGTTCCGAACGTGCGCCCTTGGAAACACAGTTTGGCTTCTGCAACAAATCAGGCGAGGATCTGTTCCTAACTCTAAGATAAAATAAAAAGAAAGGGAACCACTCAGAAAATTAAGAGCTCTGCTCTGGAGCTGTGTGTGTGTGTGTGTGTGTGTGTGTGTGTGTGTGTGAGGGGGTGGGACGGGGAGATTGGGGTCCCTTTACTGTTTGAAAAATAACCAGCAAATGCCACATTTGTCATTCCTATGTTTTCACGAATCGCTAATCAATTGCGCGTGCTGATAAATATCAGAGCCCTCTTAAGAGTTTTATTCTTTATATTTGAAACGCCGTTTCTACTTTTAGATCCGTTAAGAAATGTAACTGTCAAAGAAGCGGACACATTTCCCTAGTACTTTTATTAGCTTTCAAAATCACGAAGCCGATCGTGTTACTCCCCTATTTTAAACGCTTCAGGAGCTCCAACTGCCTGTTAGATCAAATCCAAGTTCTTTAGCATGACATTCAAGGCCTTTTAATATTGGAATGAAGCCAATTATTTCAACTTCAGTGCCACCATTCACCTCATATTCTTTTTTTAATGTTTATTTAGGGGCGCCTGGGTGGCTCAGTCGGTTGGGCGGCCAACTTTGGCTCAGGTCATGATCTCACCATCCGGGAGTCTGTGAGTTTGAGCCCCCATTGGGCTCTGTACAGCTCAGAGCCTGGAGCGTGCTTTGAGTTCTGTGTCTCCCTCTCTCTCTGCACCTCCTCCACTCACACTCTGTCTCTCTCTCTCTCATCCTTTAAAAGTATCCTTTTTTTTAAAATGTCTATTTATTTTTGAGAGAGAGAGAGAATGTGCATGTGAGCTGGGGAGGGACAGAGAGAGAAGACAGAGGATCCAAAGCAGGCTCTGTGCTGACAACGGTGAGCCTCACTTGGGGCTTGAACCCATGAACCGTGAGATTAGGTCGAACCACGACCTGAGCTGAAGTCGGATGCTTAATTGGCTGAGCTACCCAGGCACCCCTCCCCTCTTTAAATATGCCAAAATACATGCCATTCCCCAAACAGCCCTTTCCCATTTCATATCTGTGTGTTTGCATATGCTAAGCCCCTGCCTTCTTCAGTCTGCCTGCTGAAACTGTATTTATTCTTCAAGATCCATTCCAGAATAACCCCTCCAAAGCTTCTCCAAGTATCTAGATGAGCGATTGCCAAAGTTTGGTAATACAGGCATTATCAATATTTACAAAGGAAGTTCTAATATAGTATTGTCTGCTTTGACTTTGTTCATGCACACATAAACAGGTACCTACCACAATATGGAGGATAAGTTAGAACCAAAAACAAACAAACAAGCCCAGGAAGAATATCACCTCAGAATAAAGGAGAGTTTTTCAATTTCATGAATTTGGTTTTAGGAAAATTTCACTCATTTGGTTGTTCTTAATTTTCTCCTTTTGCCACAGGAAAACAATGGTAACCAAAAAAACCAGCCATGGATAACTGGGAACCACTGTCCCCGACTACAGACAGAACTGGCTGTTCCATCATCTTGTAACACTTTCTACAGATTTGTAGCATTGAGTTGTGTTTATTTTACTGGACCTCTCCCACTCTCTTTCCACTGATTTTGAATTTTTGAGTATTGGGATTATTATTATTTTCCATATTCCAAGCATCCGGCACATAATAGATGCTCAGTAAATGTCTGTGAAATAAGTGTTTAAAAATTTTTTAAACATTTATTTATTATTGAGAGACAGGGCATGAGTAGGGGAGGGGCAGAGAGAGAGGGAGACACAGAATCCAAAGCAGGCTCCAGGCTCTGAGCTGTCAGCACAGAGCCCAAGGAGGGGCTCGAACCCACAAACCACGAGATGATGACCTCGAACCCACAAACCGCAAGATCATGACCTCAGCCAAAGTAGGATGCTTCACCGACTGAGCTGCCCAGGCGCCCCTGTGAAATCAATTTTTATACAAATGACTGTGTGTAAGAGGAATGCCAAGGCAGACTGGTCCCAGACAAAAACAAAAACAAACAAACAAACAAAAAACAACTAAAACAGTCCTTATTCCATACGAGAACATAGTTCCATTTCTGAATAATTTTTCTGAATTTCTGAATAAGTTCTTTATCACTGATAGTGTTTGCACCATTAAATACCCTCTGTGAAGATCTTTCTCAGTCAAGGATCTGCTGGGAACAGTGTATTAGACAAAGCTCTCCCTCCTCCTCTAGGTCATAATCATCCTCTCCCTCGTCAACATCCTTTAAAAGTATCCTCTTACCCTGTAGCTTCAAGGGGTTTCACAAAAGGAGAATATCATCTGTTCTCTGAGGTCGGCTGTACGTTAGTGGGGATGCTGTAGGCTACAGAAAATATAATAGCCTAACTCAAATTAGATTTAAAAAAAGAAAAGGTAATTTATTGGTTCACATAACTGAAAAGTTGCTCAGGTAAAGCTTGATTCAACAGCTCCCTGATGCCACCTTGAACCTGACCTCTTCCTATCTTGCCACTCTGCCTTCGGCATGGCTTTCTTCATCTAGCACTGGCCCCGTTTGTGGTCTTAAGAGGCACAGCTATCTGCCACTCCACACGCTGCATGCTTTTTCTTCCTTGCAGAAAAGAAAATAGTTGCCCTAACCTTCCCACAAACGCAATCTGATGATAATAGTTGGCATTACCTGCCCACATCTGAACTGATGCCAGTAGAATAAAATTCATTGCTTGTCTGATTGGAATCTCAGGCTTTAGTTCTTGAAGCTAGGGATTGAGCCTCACGGAAATCTGGAGTTACTGGGAAGAGATAAAGGAATGCCTGTTACAGTCCGTACAGTGATAATTTTTGGAGACGCGAGTATCCTGAAAAACTTTAAGACTTTAACAAATATACTTACGGATGTTTAGGGATCTCTTTCTTGGGGCGCCTGGGTGGCTCAGTTGGTTAACCTTCTGACCTCAGCTCCGGTCATGATCTCACGGTCCATGGGTTCGAGCTCCACATCGGGCTCTGTGCTGACAGCTCAGAGCCCAGAGCCTGCTTTGGATTGTGTCTCCCTCTCTCTGCCCCTCCCCTGCTCATGCTCTGTCTCTCTCCATGTCTGATAAATGAATAAACATTTAAAAAAAATTTTTAATAAAAATAAAGATCTTTTTCTCTCTCTCAAAAGAAAAAGAGTGATGCCCTCCCCAAACTCATATCCCACCCCCACAAAAAGCAGTCACATTATTCTTTCTTTAACAAAGTAGAATTTAAAGATCCCTTCTAGAAAAAGATGGATGATGATAAAGGAGCCGTTTGAGGAGCTGACCCAGAAAGTAATGATTAATTATATTCTTGCAGGCTGAACTGTCCAATGTACTAGAGGGCATCATCTTTCTTCCAGCTTCTAAGGAGGTCAAGAGATTCTTTGCCTGTGGCAGTGAGATATGAATGGAAGGTTAGTCACTTGATCCTTCCACAGAAGCAATAACTCACTGCTTCCAAGGTAAGCTCTCCAAAGGACCCCTTTTGAAGGACTGTATAAGACCAATCTACTCAGCTAAAATGGACAGATTCTCAGATGCTCTTTTTACAAGAGTCTGCCTTTAACTTCAGAATTCAGATTGGCTGCCCATCTAGACGAAATTGCCCAGACGAATGCTTCATGATGGACTGTCATGATCTAAGAAATGACTGAGGTTTATAATCTTAAAAGGTAATAAGTCTCGGGGCACCTGGGTGTTTTCAGTTGGTTAAGCGTCTGACTTCGGCTCAGGTCATGATCTCACGGTTTGTGGGTTCGAACCCCGCATGGAGCTCTGTGCTGATAGCTCAGAGCCTGGAGCCTGCTTCAGATTCTGTGTCTCCCTCTCTCTCTCTGCCCCTCCCCCGCTTGCACGCTGTCTCTCTGTCTCTCAAATATGAATAAACATTTAAAAAATTTTTTAAACTAAAAGGTAATAAAACTCAAATGTTGTTTGTCCTACAATTTTGGGTTGAGATTTCAACTCCAGTTAAAATTTTAATTACCTTTGAGGTAAACTGTTTTAAAAATGGGGCCACCCCAATGGGGGCACCTGGGGGCTCAATTGATTAAGGGACCAGCTCTTGATTTTTGGCTCAGGTCATGATCTCATGGTTCATGAGTTTGAGCCCCACATCAGGCTCTGCACTGACAGTACAGAGCCTGCTTGAAACTTTCTCTCTCTGCCCCTCCCCAGCTCTCTCTCAAAAATAAATAAATATTTTTTTTTAAATGGCACCAGTGAATATAATCTCTCTGTATCCATGCCCATTGGCTATCCCCACCCCCACCCCCACACACACATACTGACACTGAGCTTGACTATGTGAGTTGCTTTGGCCAATGGAATATTAGCAAATGTGATACAACAGAGGCTTGAAAAGTGCTTGCTTACAAGGAACTTTTCCACCACCATGGGAAAAAGCCTAGGTAGCTTTTTGAGGGGTGTCACAGCATGTAGAGTAAGGTCCCTGCTTTTCCAGCCATCCTAGCCATGCCAGACATCTGAGCCAAAGCCCAACTGCATGTGTGAGCCCAGCCTTCAACTTGGGGAACAGAAATGAACTGTCCCAAGCTGAACCCAGTCCATATTGTCAACTTACAGAATTATAAGCAAATAAATGTTTGCTTTTTGAGCCTGTAAGTCCTGCTATATTGATACGTGTACTATAATTGGTAAAACCCTTAGACCTTCGATGGGGATTAAAGAGCACACATATCATGATGAGCACTGAGTATTGTATAGAATTGTTGAATCACTATACTGTATACCTGAAATGAATATAACACTGTATGTTAACTGTACTGGAATTAAAAAACTGAGAAAAAAAACCCTCATACCTTAAAGTGCCTACACCACTTAATGTACATAGTAGGTGACCAATAAATGCCTACTGAATTTCTTAAAGAAACTAATCTAATTGTGCTGGTCATCCATTTGAATTACACTAAATGCATCTGCAAAATGATTTTTCCCATGGAATGTCAGAAAAGATAAAACATTTTACTGCAAAATTAATTTTGGTCCCCTTATTTTATTCAGGAGACATATAGGATGTCATCTTTCAGTTAGTCTAGCCAAGCTGTAAAATAGGACTTAAATAATAAAGTAATTGACCTAAATGCTTAGTTCAGTTTCTGACCCTTGATATATGTTCTTGCTGATGATGCTGAGAATGACTGTGAGCTCCCCAAGTATAGGGGCTGTTTTAGTCCATCTTTTATTCATGGTACATTACTTAAAGTAGCATGGATATATTTTTAAAATATGAGGTTTGCGGGGCACCTGGATGGCTCAGTCGGTTGAGCATCCGACTCTTGATTTCGGCTCAGGTCACGATCTCACCGTCATGAGATCATAAGATTGAGCATGAAGCTGCTTAGGACTCTCTCTCCCTCTCCGTCTGCCCCTCCCCCCTCTCAAAAAGCTAATTCATTAATTAACTAATTAAATATGAGGTTTGCAATGAAGAGGATGATATATTAAATAACGGGAATAGTAGGGGACAGGGTTTTTTATTCTACTAGGAATACACTGTGATTCTTAAAATGTGACTTCCATCTTTCTTCACGTAAAAAATTCTTATCGCTTCAAACGTTCTCTCTTCTCCCTTCTCTTTCTTGCATACTTTATACCGCTTATCCGGTCATCTTTATCTATGAGCTACTCTTTAAAAAATGTTTTTATTTGAGTAGAGTGGACACACAATGTTATGTTAGTTTCAGGTGAACGACAGAGCAAATCGACCAGTTTAGACATTGTGCTGTGTTCACCACCAGTGTGGCCACCATCTGTCACCATGCAACAATGATTGACTACATTCCCCATGCTGTGCCTTTTATTCCTGTGAATTACTTGTCTATTGATTGCTCTTTGCCTCTTTCCATCTTATCTGTCTGACACACTAGGGATTTCCCTTTAATGTTAGTTACTTAATTGATTCTCTCTTCTTCTGTACCTAATCCCCTATTTCACTCATCTCTCAATCTGTGAATTTCAAGGACTGCATTTTTGGTTTTTTTACACCTACGCATCTGTTCAGTTCCTCTTTCCTATTCCACCTGCTCTTTTTCGTACTATTTTGTTCCTTCATGGTGTGAGTGAATACTTTTTTTTTTTATCTGTACACTCATACTAAATATTATCAGTGTATAATTTCTCTCTAATTTATGTTTGCATTTTTGGATACCAATTATTTTGTTGGTTGGATCTGCTGGATCTCAGTTATGTACTCTGTCAATTTTAAACACGAGTTCATCTTCAAGGATGAATATTTATTCCTTGGGAGTCCTATGCACTCTGGTTTATAAAATTTCTAGAACAGAGTGATTCTATCCTTGCTTATGCTTAGAGAGCAAAAGGTTTCAATGGTTCTGAATCAGTTTCTTTTTTTTTTTTTTTATGTTTCTTTAGTTTTGAGAGGCAGAGAGAGACAGAGCACAAGTGGGGAGGGGCAGAGAGAGAGAGAGAGAGAGAGGGAGACACAGAATCTGAAGCAGGCTCCAGGCTCTGAGCTGTCAGCACAGAGCCCAACGTGGGGCTCGAACTCACGGACCACGAGATCATGACCTGAGCCGAAGTCGGACATTTAACCTACTGAGCCACCCAGGTGCCCCTGGTTTCAATGCCCAAGTACCTGATGGGGGCCCAGCCCTTTTCAGCTAAACTCTGGACACAATTCCCAGGCGCCATTCCAACTGCATATTTCCACAGCTACCTAACATAGACAAACGTATTCCTCCCCTCTCCCAGATCACATATCTTACACTCGCTGTCATTTCTAACACACTGACTCAGTTTCCACCACAACTACCCTTCCTCCCATGCTCTAGTCAATTCTCTCTTCTCCTCTGTCTTCAGCTTTTTCCTTCACTTCCTGCTTTTTTGGTGACAAGTTTATCCAACCTGGTCTTTAGCTCTACCTCCAGGGCCTTCTCAAATTCCTCCTACTCCACCTAAAATATTGCAATGACTTACTAAAATTCTATTTTAGAATTGTGAAGATATAGTCAAATGACTCTGCTCTCACATAGGAGTGCACACAGAATACATTTAGAATCATATGTACTTTATTATAAGATTTATTCACAAATCTAAAACTAACTTTTCTTGAGAACCTACTTAATAAAATCACCCTCCGGCCTATTAGCCTTTAATCTACTTCACAGAGAGATTGCCAAAATAATGGTTCTACAATGTTCTATGTTTTAAGGGGTAGAAGAATGATAGTGGCTCCAGAAAAACTAAACACTAAAAACAATTCACTGTTCTAGAAGAATTTTTTTTCCTTTTCATATTTTTATTTAAATTCTGGTTAGTTAACATACAGTGCAATATTGGTTTCAGGAGTAGAATTTAGTGATTCCTCACTTACATACAACACCCAGTGTTCGTCCCCAAAAGTGCCCTCCTTAATGTCCATCCCCCCAATGTCCCTCCATCAACCTTCAATTTGTTCTCTACCCTTAAGAGTCTCTTATGGTTTGTTTCCCTCTCTCTTTCCCCCCCCTTCTCATATGTTCATCTGTTTTGTTTCTTAAAATCCAGATATGACTGAAATCATATGGAATTTGTCTTTCTCTAACTGATTTATTTCACTTAGCAGAATACATTCTAGTTCCATCCACATCATTGCAAATGGCACGATTTCATTCTTTTTGATGGCTGAGTAATATTCCATTGTATTTATATACCACATCTTTTTTTTTTTTTTCTTAGTAGATTTAAACGTTTATTTATTTTTGGGACAGAGAGAGACAGAGCATGAACAGGGGAGGGGCAGAGAGAGAGGGAGACACAGAATCGGAAACAGGCTCCAGGCTCTGAGCCATCAGCCCAGAGCCTGACGCGGGGCTCGAACTCACGGACCACGAGATCGTGACCTGGCTGAAGTCGGATGCTTAACCGACTGCGCCACCCAGGCGCCCCACCACATCTTTTTTATCCAGTCGTCAGTCAATGGACATTTGGACTCTCTTCATAGTTAGGCTATTTTTGATAATGCTAGCAAGATGCTTGAAAAAAAATTGCACGGTCATGCAAAAGGGACCTAATTCTCTAAAATGACGGCAGTTATATTTCCCATTAAGCAAACTCACTAGAAATATAATAAGCATACTTTGTACTGTCTGGGCAGTGAAAAAAAATTTTTACTGAGTTTCTGAACTCAGTAAACTGATGTGCACAAAGCTCCAAGTCTGGAGGGCCGCCTGGAGATTTCTTGTTACTAGACAAGTCTTGAAAAAAGAAACTGAGTGAGTAAGGGGGATGTCAGGACCAAAGCAGAGGTCTCCATGCCATTATGCCCCATATCTGGGAGGAAGAGAAATCATGGGCAGAAACCCTCCTTGTGCAGGCACAGGAAAGATCCAGAGAGTGAAAAGTCCAGAGATGGTCAGGGATGTGTCCATTCATTTAGCAACACCGAGAACCCACTGTGTGTGAGGCACCACCATGCCAAGCAGGACAGAAGATGTCAAGCTATTTCAGACTAAGGGTCTGACCTCTGTAATATTCTAATCTAGTGTAAAACAAAAAAAAGTCACAGAGAAGTCCCACATGAGTAATACCGATAAAAAGCTTAAAATATCCAGCAGGTTAAGGGGTACCTGGGTGGCTCAGTCAGTTAAGCATCCGACTTCGGCTCAGGTCATGATCTCACAGTTGATGAGTTCGAGCCCCGCGTCAGGCTCTGTGCTGACAGCTCAGAGCCTGGAGCCTGCTTCAGATTCTGTGTCTCCCTCTCTCTGCCCCTCCTCCCTTGCACTCTTGTCTCTCTCTCTCTCTCAAAAATAATTAAACATTAAAAAAAAAAAAAAAAAAAGAAATCAGCTCCCTGGTCTCCTTCAGCAACTGCTCACATTCAGCCCTCTGAAAATCACCAATTTCTAGGGTGTCATAGGAAAGAAATAAAAAGCCCTACAAGTGCTTGTAAAATTCTGCAAGACCCTATCCAATACCGTCATCCTGCCAGGGATCCTCTACCCTGATGGAACCTGAAACGGCCTGCCAGCAAAATTCAGCCTGGACTCCTCCCCCATCCATCTGTGCACCTGCCAGACATAGCATTTAACCTCTCAGCTTTCCTGCCCAGGGCGCAGACAGCAGCACAGCCTAGATTAGCTCTAAAACCCACCTCTTCCTAGATCTTATGAGGCTAGGAGAGATTTTGAGGTAGCCAGTTAAGGTCCCTTCTCTTCCCGTTCATTTGGTGACAATATTCATATAAGCTAATTTCAGTAAAACCACAGAGATACCGGAGCTGTCTTAGACAGGAATTTACCGTAGACTTGGTTCTTTTCTGCTTTTTCCTGGATGTTCATAGCCACTGCCCTGCCCTCTGCTATTGGGTAAATGAGTACCATTTTTCCTCTGAATCATCACACAGAAAGTCTCCAAATCCAAGTGCAAAATGGTGGCCCCTCAGAGGCAACACCATGCAATTATAGGTCTGCAGCTTGACATATTCCAAGCAAGCAATTTACAATGTCAAACGGCGTGCAGTTTCTTTGTGCTGCATAAAAAAGACACCCTATCCATTTGCAGAATTGCTAGTAAATCAACATAATTTGCTTTCCCTGAGACTGCGTTCTACTAGGGAAACCTCCCTCAAAACTGCTGAGATGACTACAATTACATAAAATTATGGCATCTCACAATAAGGAACTTCCCTATAATTGGTCATGCAAATGAAGGACAATAATACATATATAATTTAGACACAGAGGATTATCCTTGAAAAGCAGTCTGTTGTTCCCAAGCTAATTTCTCCAGGGTTTCCTCCGCTTCATAAAATCCCTGAATTCTACAATTCAGCAGCTATTAGCAGGGAAACACTCTTTGCTTGGGGGCAATATATTCATGTATTTAGAATATAATGTAGGTCAAGTATTTGCAGTATTTGAACGCAAACCCGCCATCCCTGACGATGTCTGTCACTGCAGAATGAAGAATAATTAGGCTTGGTTTCGAAGCGGCTGACAGGCAGATTTTTTTTTTCCTAGAAGTCTAACAGAAAGCCTGAAGGCAAGTCAATGGTATCTAATTCCACACACTTGGCATCACCAAAGAAAACAGATCAGAGCCCACATTGGGGCTCTTTGTAATACACTTTCCCTGAGAGTGCTGCCCCAAGACAAGGAAAGATTCACCCTTCCTTGTACTGTGTTGGTTTACAGATCTGGATATGGCTTTCATCAAAGAACGTCCTTGAAATTCAAAAAGGCAGTTTATTCCGGGAGCAAGAAGACTTAGATAAAACGCAAGCAGCCTGGATCCTAGCACAGCTTTCGCATTGACTAGCTCTGCGATCACGATCAAGTCAATTTGCTTTACTACCCCGTCTCCTCAAGTGCAAAATGAACGAATTGAGGTATGTAATCCCTTTGCTATCCTTTCACTACAAAATATTATGAATCCGGGTGCCTGGGTGGCTCAGTCGGTTAAGCATCCAACTCTTGATTTCAGCTCAGATCATGAACTCATGGTTCGTGAGATCAAACCCTGCGTCAGGCTCCATGCTGACAGTGTGAAGTCTGCTTGGGATTCTCTCTCTCTCCCCCTCTCTCTGCCTCTCTCTCTCTCTCTCTCTCTCTCTCAAAATAAATAAACTTAAATATATATTATGAATCTGTTAAGAGGTTTCTGGGTTCTTGGCCTAGATTCAGCAAAGAATTGGAGACCCAAGACCAGAATGGCGAGACAGAGTTTGAGTAGGTAAGTACAGTACACTTTGCAAGACTGAAAATGGATGCACTGCTGGAGCAGGAATGACGGTGACCCCAAGAAGCTCCACCTGCATTCTTTTAAGTCTGCTTTGTGTACACATAAACCTGGCTTTGGTTGACATTTTTACTTGGCAGCTGGTGGTTTTTTCATAGTTTGGCTTCACGCATGAGCCTACCCATGATGCATTCTGTTATAACTGGATGTACTCGTGTGCTGTATTCTTATGAGTGTCTAATGAGCTTCTGTTGTGACCTTCAAAGGTATTTAAGGGCTTACTTGCACCCTTTGTGTGCATTGGCTCAGCTCTTGGAAGTCCCCTGGTGGCTTTTGAGCCAGCTCTGTGGCTACTTAGCCTTTCCTGTCTGGTTAGCCCTCAGATGTGGCTCTGAAGGTGTGGCTGTAACCCTCAGGGGGTGGCCTGAGGGTGTGGCCATCACCTGCCTCATCCCTCCTCATTCATGCCTAACTGCCTAATAAATGTTGGCTACCACACAAAAGGTCACTTTGTAGTTACAGCAAGAACGTGGCCTCAAGACGGACAGGCTGGGGGCTGGATCCCAGTTAGGGTATTAGCTACATGAATCTATACAAGGAAGCTCCCTAAACCTTAGCTTCTTCGTCTAAGAAATGAATTTAGGGGGGAATTAAGTGTGTACCTGATATATAATTACCATTAAGAATCTTAGCCTACACTCCGGGATAATTACAGCAACCCTAG